ACGAAGAAGAGAGAGAGAGAGAGAGAGAGAGAGAGAGCGAGAGAGAGAGGATTGACACGCGTGACGTGGTATTCCATCGATTCCTATCAAGGTTTTGAAATTCGTCCCACCAGACATTTCGTGACTTTCACATTCGAATTTTGTATCACAGATCGATTCGATTATATCGCGCCAACTTGTAAATTTATCGAGAAAATGTAATCAAGATATAGATGTAGGAATGCTTGTATTTAAGTAACGCGAATTCGATTCGAGGGAATAGTTTCCGGATATGGGAAGGAGAAGGAGAGATCGAAGTGCGATGAGTGTCGTGTTTCTAAAAATATGCCGCTTTGTTGGATAAATCCGAATCGTGTGATTATAAATATGCAAAACGAATGGAAAGATATCGATCGTTGATACACAATTATGGAAGTAAGAGTCGAGGGTCAAATTTTTGTTCCAACGATTTTTTCAACGATTTTTATTTACACGCGTTAAAAGAATTCGATTGTTTCGTAAAAATACTAAATTACAGAAACATTGTTTTGTAATTCGGCAACAAGTATTTGTCAACGTACAATTTGAACGTGTGCATTCGTCTTTTATTAGCAACGGAAAAATGCGTTTGCAGATGAAACGTTTAACTGATGATAACTCGTCGAAGAAACATCGAACATGGGAAGTTGTTCCTTATTGCATCCGCAAAGCTTAACTTTATATCTACCTAATTTCCTTTACAACTCGAAACGACCATACCTTGGCATAGTAATTCGCGTTAATTAGAATCTTCTTCTTAATTCCGACGCGCAAAGCATAGCGGCAAACCGTTTAACGTTACTTATGAATCATCTTGTATATATACCAAATACGGACCAACTCTCGGGAAAAGATGGTTGTTTTCGCGAATAAATTGGAAAGAGCGTGGCGTGGCGAATTTTCTCATAATATTCGCTTCGACGAATAAATCGAAACGAAATAAAACCGTACTCGCAGTTTTCGACAAGAGAGACACGATTTCGCGCGCGCGCACACGCAACCGGTGTCCCCGGTTCGCATTTTTCCAACCGCGTCCATGCTCAGATATATATACGTAGATATATTGTGAGACGTAAAGTATACCTGGATAATTACATAATTTCCTGTAAGAAGTTTTTTCCAACGTGCCGCGGTTCTGGATCGCGGTGTCCGTAGCCGTGATACCAGCTTCTCGAGAAGTAAATAAAAGATTATCCGAGAAAGGACTTTAACACCTTCCTCGCATTGGTTCGCATTGGATATGATGCAATAAGCAAGACACACCGACCCTACTCTCGCGGATCCGATTCCTACGACCGATCCAAACCATTTTCCCCGCCAAATTTTCAACCCCCCGAGAGATGATCGAGAATGGGAAAATTTCCATCCTCGAAAAAACGCGTGGGAATAGAATGTTAACCGAGTTTTCTCCATGCTTTATTTAATCTCCACATCTCGACATTCGCAGAATCACCGCTTTCGTGTAAACGAGTTTACGAACAGATCGTTCCATCACTGTTTACGTTAAACGATATATATATATATACTATTACTCTCGTTCTATCCTCTTATTCGTCTTGTACTTTCAAATTAATTCGATCAACTTCGCTTTTCATTTCTCAACTTTTCAACTTTTATTATTCTATATTCTATCTTCCTCTTGAAAAATAATAAGTCGAATGTTATTCGACTTGTAAAATATGAGTTTCGAGCAATTCGTATAATCCCTTCAATTTCCATAAAAATGTAATCGCAACGGGTTTATATATCCAACTCTGAACCATTTAATTATAAGGGTGGAATAACGATTAAATATAACCGCGCATAATAAAACGAACTATAACACTTAATTTGAACTTGGCTGCAACTTGCTCTTTTAAAATTCAATTATACGCTTCTCTGGCGTATCGTGACACGTTACATATTAATAATCCATGACACGCGGTCGATGAAACGCGAGTGTCGAGCCCACAAGTTCGATATCCGCGACTAAGAATGAACAAAATTGTTGCGAGAGATAAGATCGCCCCTGTAAATTGTTTTTTCTATTGCAATAAATATAAAATATCCCTTTATCTCCGATTCAACGATTCGGGCAAATACGACGCGACTTTCGATCCGTGTCTGTGCGCAGGCGAATTTCGACCAGCTTCCTGATTTCGCGCTCAACGAATAATACGTCGTTGGATTCCAATGAGAAACACTTGTTGCAACTCGCGGAAATCTTTGCAAAAATGATCAGGATATACGATTCGTCTCACTCTCTATAACTTTTGATTAATTTGAATTAATTAGAAGAGAAAATTTTCTCTGAATTATTTGTATATGTAATCTTATGGAGAAAATTGAATAAATTATTATTATTATTATTATTATTATTATTGTTATTGTTATTGTTATTGATATTATCATTAACTATCCGTGAATTCGTACAATTAATTAGAGAATAATGGATTAAGAAAATATAAATAATTTAATATTATATATGTGTAATGCAATGTAATGTAACGTAATAATAATAAATATTAATAATAATAAATATATAAATAATAAATATTGTTGTGAAAATAAAATTTCGTTTGTTTTTGCTAATGATGTAACACGATATCAAAAAACATAGCCATATATCTTCCGTTAACTTGATAACGGAAAGAAAATTATATTGCTTTAAATTCATGAAATAATCATTATAAAAATATATCATAAGAGTGAAATGAGATTAAATATTTAGGATAAAGGAATATTTACGGAGAATAAATACGATATTAAAAATATAAAATACAAATACTTTAAATATTATAATTACAGAATTATCTCCATGAAATAAAATAAAAAGTGACCTCTTTCTCGGAATCTCTAACGAATCTCTCGGAATCAAACGCATAATTTAAAAGATATTTCATTTGAATAAGTATACATACATATATATATATATATATTATTGAAAAAAAAAAAAAAAAAAAGAACTACAATGAAATTCATCATTCTCGACACTGTGTATTAACAAAACCGTTAGACAAACGGTTTTTTGTTTTTCAAACAAACGATGAGACAATTCTGATTCCAAAGAAAAAAATTCCTTGTTTCGCGAATAGATTTATTGGAATATTACCAGGCATATAAATTTTAAATAAGAAAAGAAAATCGAAGATGATTCTTCCTTCCTCTTGTATGCTAATTTCCACTAATAATTCTCGTCTCGATATCAACGTCATACGAATATTCGCAACCATTTGCATCTTCAATTACGATATATTAATTTTTCACCGTTTACCGACGAATAATAAATAATTGGATTAATTTTATGTATGCAAGTGATTTCGGTCAAGATAACGATTATCGTTTGAAACAACTTGTCTCTAAAATCAGTACGAATCATAGTGATAAACGTTTCGTCGTATAACCGTTCGGAATCTAATATATCTTTGTTCATCGTTTAAAAATTTTTTTTGACGAAAAATCGATTAATGATAAAAAATATTCGACATCTTGCTAAATTATAATATTATTATTTATTATATTCGATATTAACCGATGTTCAATTCCGTTTCCGTAAAAATATAAAAGTTCGATCGATAAATATCTTCGATCATATTTGCTTAATTAAAATTCATAGATCACGCTTTATAAAAATTTTATCAATACTATAAATAAAATTTCACAATAAATTGAATTCATATAAATAGAGTTTTACAATTTTTTTCTATTTCAAGTTTTGTTCAAAGAAAAATGCATATTTACATACATTTTTCTTTGAGGCACGAATAATATTTTCTACTAGCTATTTATTATTAATGATTGCATAGGTACCAGTAGATCGATTTCATTCAGAATAAAATGAACCGATAATAATATTTACCATTTATGTATAAAAGCTTATGAGTGAATGTCTATACGACGTACGAATAGAACTACGCAAGCCTAATAGCACAATGGTGCTAGTGAATCTATATTCCGTACATTTGCGTGACAAACGTGCACGTTTGTCGATGCTGTCGGTATCGGACGAATAATAAAGAATTTGCATAGTAGTAGTAGTTCTAGTTCGCGTGATGGAGGGGCATATATTCCACAGGGATTTCGAATATATTCAAATTTCCCGCCATTCAGCCAGAAAAAATACGGTTCCTTTGAGATTTTTTGCTCCAACTAACCGCGATTTGTATTTACGAGCACAATAATACTTCTCGCTAACCTAACCTAATATGTTTAAACAAAAAATTTAGAAAGATTCCGATTAAAATACTATTTCTCTCTGGAATAATATTTTAACCGTTAAAATTCAAATTTTCCATCATATATACGTCAAAATAAAATGTACAAATGCTACGTTACGATCGAGATTCGAGAATGAAAATGTGTTAATTTTTTTTTTTTTTTTTAGAAAAAATTCCATCACAGACATTCGATATATCGCAAACATGGTCGTATTACATTCACGAAATACACAACGAAACGAGCCATGTTTACTGGAACCATGTTTCATTCGTCGATACACGTAACGACGCGTTTTGGCGCGTAATGAGGGAAAAAGATGCCACAATGCCAAAATAACACGCAAGTTTAAGAATCTTGCGTCGACATAACGATGTTCGAGAAAAAGTATACATGATATTTGCTCACCTTTCTTACAAAAATGTCAACTATCGATGTATTCTTCGAATGGGACGATGCTTTTTGCCTTTTCTTCGATGTTCAATGTCGCGTGGGCAGTCCACCTCTAAGTAAACAAAAACACAGACTTCAAATTGTCGATTCCCTTGCACGAGAGTTTTCTTCCATATGATCACTCGCGTGGTCTTTTTTTTCGGTCAGTAAAAAATAGTCGTCGAGAAGAGTGGCAGCAAATGCGACAAGAGAGGTGGCATAGTTGAAACAAAGATGTAACGTGAGAGTCAGAGAAACGGAGAAAGAGAAAGAAAAAGAGACGAAGGGAGAAAGAGAGAAGAAGATAGAGAGAAGAAAAAAAAGAAAGAATGAAAAAAAGGATGAAAAAACAAGACGCGAGAAAAGTAGCTAGTGATAACGAGTTTCCTGCACTTGAAATCATGTATATGTGAGATACGAGATTCTTTCACACGTCGATCACCAAACACGAGAAATATTTTCGCCGAAACAAAAGCGTTTCATTAGTTTACCGATGATTCGCTATACGCCATCAACGTCATGATCGTCAACGAATCCACACGATGACCCACGATTTTTCAAACGTTTTTGCTCGTTTTAATCACGACTCTCGCTACGACAACTTTTTCATCGGGATCAAAAAAGATTTTTCGTTTCGTTTGATTTGGAAGATACGTAGTTGCATGCGTGGCGCGCGCGCGTGTTCGAAGTCTCGCGACGATCGTCCTCTTCCTCCAATGTGTGTTCCTGCTCAGGATCCGATCGAGCAGGCACTGACCCCACGAGACGACGTCGAAGCGAAGAAGAAAGAGAAGGAATAAGACAGATAGATAGATAGAGAGAGAGAGAGAGAGAGAGAGAGAGAGAAGAAACGAGTCGGAGGAAGCGTACGAAAGACGAACGAAGAAATGGAGAAGGGAAAAAGAATAGAGTGAAGAGAGAAATGAAATCAAAGAAAGAGGTGGAAGAAAATAAGTAAGGAGTGAAGAGAAAGTGAAAGAATGAGAAAGAGAAAGAGTTAAGAACGGATCGCGGGCGCGTATAATACCGGACTCACAGTTGGCAGTCTTTCCTCTCGTATCTTCTACCGCGTTGTTTCTCTTCCGAATTAACACACGAAAACCGTTCGATTCATCGAGAAATCATGAACTCATTTCGAACTAATTCTGTACGCACTAATTTTATGTAATCGTAGCACTGATACAAAGTCACCGTTGAAATTTCAGCGTTTCGTCCAACGAGACACGAATTCGCGCGCACGAACAAGACGTGTAAGCACGTCGCGCGCTTGTTTAGAATATACTGAATATATTTTGACCCGAGCGCTCCGTTCAGGCTCAGCGCTGGCGCTTTGCGCGTTCGGCCATTTTCGGTTACGATCGGCTCTGTTCGTAGTCTGTAGTCGAACCAACCACGACGCCCGACCGACTGCGAACGAAACTCGCGCCCTCGCTCGATTGCAAATTACCTTGCAGGGCCGATGCACTGCAATTCATATTTACTGAATTGATAACACTTTCTTCTTTTCTTCGTTTAAATTAACGTTAATATATATACCATTACTAATTTGAAATCTAGATCCCAAATTATTTATTGATTTTCTTATTCGTCATTGTAATTTAAAAATAAAGAAATTTTAAATGATGTACGTTATCGCGTATATTATTGTAAATTATTTCAATATTATTTCAATATTATTATTTAGCGTTTATTTTTTTACATATGATTTAAAAAACTATAAAATTTAAATTTAAATTTAAAATTTTTCTTAAAGAGAGAGAGAGAGAGAGAGAGAGAGAGAGAGAGAGAGAAAACGATCGGAGGAAGCGTACGAAAGACGAACGAAGAAATGGAGAAGGGAAAAAGAATAGAGTGAAGAGAGAAATGAAATCAAAGAAAGAGGTGGAAGAAAATAAGTAAGGAGTGAAGAGAAAGTGAAAGAATGAGAAAGAGAAAGAGTTAAGAACGGATCGCGGGCGCGTATAATACCGGACTCACAGTTGGCAGTCTTTCCTCTCGTATCTTCTACCGCGTTGTTTCTCTTCCGAATTAACACACGAAAACCGTTCGATTCATCGAGAAATCATGAACTCATTTCGAACTAATTCTGTACGCACTAATTTTATGTAATCGTAGCACTGATACAAAGTCACCGTTGAAATTTCAGCGTTTCGTCCAACGAGACACGAATTCGCGCGCACGAACAAGACGTGTAAGCACGTCGCGCGCTTGTTTAGAATATACTGAATATATTTTGACCCGAGCGCTCCGTTCAGGCTCAGCGCTGGCGCTTTGCGCGTTCGGCCATTTTCGGTTACGATCGGCTCTGTTCGTAGTCTGTAGTCGAACCAACCACGACGCCCGACCGACTGCGAACGAAACTCGCGCCCTCGCTCGATTGCAAATTACCTTGCAGGGCCGATGCACTGCAATTCATATTTACTGAATTGATAACACTTTCTTCTTTTCTTCGTTTAAATTAACGTTAATATATATACCATTACTAATTTGAAATCTAGATCCCAAATTATTTATTGATTTTCTTATTCGTCATTGTAATTTAAAAATAAAGAAATTTTAAATGATGTACGTTATCGCGTATATTATTGTAAATTATTTCAATATTATTTCAATATTATTATTTAGCGTTTATTTTTTTACATATGATTTAAAAAACTATAAAATTTAAATTTAAATTTAAAATTTTTCTTAAAAATTATATTGTAATATTATTTTTCATAATTCATCGTTTATATATAATTTTGTTCCATTAGAAATATATTAGAAATATAATTTGGAGAAATTTCGATAAAATCGATAAAATTAAAAAGCTATCATATATCGTTTAATATACATCAAACAAATGCATGATATTGAAATCTATTAAAGACGCAAAATCGAATCAAATTAGAAAATGAAAGAAATAATCGTATTCTTTTGAATATACATTGGAGTTCAATAAACGAATTGAACTCTTTTAATTATACGCCACTTATTCAATATATCGTATGATTAAAATAAACTAGACTTAACGAGAATCCTGTAATAGCATTACAGGTTTATTTGATTTCGTGGGAAAAATATATAAATATTGTAAATATTAATGCGTAATACAAATAATCGAATACATTTCATGTGTGTTTAATTGAACGATTATTTGATACGTAGCCAATTTCACCAATGATTCCATCAATGTATTTCGATGGATCGTTAAAAACGCGATATATGTATTTGTCATTAAACGATTACGTTTCTTCGTACCACAAAAATCCTATCAAGAATCTTAATCACATCGCATACAAACATAGCGCGAGATCCCCACTCTAACTTCGATATCATCGGGCAAAGACAACAGCAGTATCGGAGAGCATTGTGGAACATACACTTTCGCATGTATACATTATGCAAATTGATTCCATCGATTGGCTGGTAGACTGTATGCAGCCTTGTCGGGCGTTTCAGTAACTTTGCTCTAGCTTCTGCTCTCGAGAATACGGCTATTCCGGGATCACCATTTACCAGACAATTTCCAGAGAATAGCATCGTTCTAGCGAAGCAATAGCGAAGCGGCATTGGAAAGGTTACTAAAAGGAATCGGATAGAAGTATAGGTTGCTCAGAGTAAACACATTTTACGATTCACTTTCCTATAATTCTCGTATCAACGATGCAACATTCCCTATATATTCTTTACCATATCTCTTATTTTTTTCTTGATTAATTGAAAATCAATCTTATTTCGTTCGTAACTGTTTCAACAATTTTCCGTTATATAATCGTTAACTCTTTTTTTTCTTCATCTCTTTACCTATCAAAATGTCGAATAATATCAATTGTAAATATAATATCAAGAAATAATTGTGACGATTAAAATATCTATCTCTCATGGTCAGATATTTTACGATCAGTTGTACATTCGTTAGGAACTTCTTATTAGTCTTGTTAATCTATAAAGTATGACATAACTTAACAGTTATCATTTCAACAACATGTAACATTTACATGTCAAGGAATTCAGCAACATGTGACATGTGGAAAAATTCAATAGCGCATATTTAAGAAGACGCGAGCATGTTCATATATTTCGATATTAAGCAATCAGACTTATGTTTGTGTTACATTTTCAATTATTGTAAATATGTTTTGTTGGCCGGAGACATTAGCTATCGCCAATGCCTATAAAATAAAATACAAAGATAATCTTTTGATCGAGGTATCTGACACAAAGATTAGTTTGCACCCGTTCAGATAACGCTTATTTCCAAATCAGACTGATTTTGCTATCTTCCTAGCTTACTTACACACACATGCATCGGAAATAAGTTCGCGCGATAAATCGAACGGTATTTTCTTCGAGTTTACAAGCGATTGTCGTAATTATCTTAAAAAGTTCCTTCGTGGAAATAATCGACCAATTATCATATACCACCTATGGCGAAGTCACTCTTCTCAATAGCACGCATACGATTGAAGTAAATTGGCAACGAATAAACTAGAAACATGTATGAAACCAAGGAATTCTACTAAATATAGTAATTCTTATTTCAATGATGATTAAAAGGAAATAGCCGAGGGCAAATAATTCGATTGCCTTATTTTCGCGAAGAACGCACAGAAGCAATGGAAAATTACAATGTCCATGTACATTCGTCAAACACACAATTGATCAATAAATGATCACAAAGGTAAACATTTTGTACATTACTTTCATTAATCATAAATTAGGAGTAATTTTTAATTCATGCATAGACGTCAAATTTTCAATGATGCATTAATTAACAGTAATTATTATAATAAAATAGTTAAGATTTTACAGGATAATATTTATTTTTCGTTTGGATTCTGTCTATTCTATTTTATCAAGAGAGGATTAGTATACTTTGGAGATGGCGTCTTGTTCCATGTTGTGCAAAAAGAAACGTCGATGGCACAGTTCTCTGTCTTGCCTCCTTCTCTTTAACTTTCAATTAAATTTTCTATCGACTCAACATTTATCTGGCACAAATTCTCCGATACTATGATATAAAACGATTCGATCAAACTGTATGTAATGAACAATCAGCAATAAGAGAAACTGTAGATGTGCCCCAATACAAATTTAAGACGTCAATAGCGTCTAGATAAACTTTATACCGTGACTATGAAAATGAAACAATGCAACAGATCCATAAATTCGTGTTTTGTTAGTTTTTTTGATTTTTTTCTTTAAGAGTAATTAGAATATTATGAGAAAATATTAATTTTTTGGCAAATATTACACGATTATTTTTATTCCTTACAAAAAAATAGAATTGAACTATGAGCCTCTGAAAAAAAAAATGAAAATATTCATTTTTATCTAATAAATATGATCTATCGATCATTTTATTTTTCAATAAAAAAAAAACAGGATTAAAAACGACTTAACAGTTGTTCAATGAAACAATGTAATGAAGATCCATTTCTGCATGCAGTCAATTGTATGTAATTATCCGACGATAATGCATAGTTGCCATTAGAAAGATTTGCCATTTTTTCCAAGATTCGTTTAATTCTTTGTCCAATGCTGAAATGAAATTTCTATATATTAATTAAATTCAAAACCATTCTATTTTATCGAATTTTAAAAAAATATTACATTTATTTTGATTTACTAGAGATCATTTGAATATTCTTTACAGACAAACTTAAATATGCGAATGTATACTACATACATTATATATGCATATATATATATATGCATTATAGATAAAGACACACAGTTAGATAAAATTTTATTGAAAGTTATATGAAATGATCACAGAGAAACGATAATTTTAAATTATATTTTAATATTGTAAAGATCGTTTTGTTTGTATATCATCCAATATCGTTCTAAGTTCTTCATCTTCTAACCGCCCTTCTAAACTGGGAATCAAGGCTTTCGCTTCTTCTGGAGTTTCCGGACAAAGATTCGCGAGCGAAGCTAACTCAAACTTATGAAGTTTCTTCTGCATAAGCAAGCTAGAACATACAAATTTTTATAAATTTATACAATGAAATGAATATTTTTCATTTCAAAAAAATAGTTTACGAGTTTGAATCTTATTAATTATAAAGATGTAATCGCGCTTACTTTCTCACAGCAGCAATTGTTTCTTTATTTTTAAATCGGCGAAATCTATTTGTATACGTTAAACTCTTCATGAAAACTTCGGAAAATTCCTGTTCCTCTTCTGCTGATTCATTTTGTGCTTTTCTATGCTCCAATAACATATATACTTCCGAAATTAAAAGTGTCTCTGCATTTTCAAATTCTAAGAAAAAAAATTATAAATAACACATTTATTAAATTGTCATATCGTT